TATTTGATATGAAGATTAATTTTTACCTAATTAGCAGGTGTGATTGGGATAGTAAAATTTTTAGTTCTTGTCATGTCAATTTATTCAATTATTTGCATTTGCAATGATCTGCAGGTGTCCCTATACTTTTGCTCATATTCAGGAAATGTATATTGTTAATTGTTTCTTTTTGTTTTTCACATATCCAAATGTGTGAAAAAATCTTCATTTCTTTGTTGCAAAGCAACATTTCCAATTATTATCGTATAGATCTGGACTTCGTAATTTAAGGCTTTCAATAGTTGGTAATTCTTCTATTAACTTTTTAACTTTGAAAGATCTTTTATTACTAGCATTAAATGATGTTTTAGTGTTTTCTTCACCATTAAAATTTAATATTATCCAATTCATTGGCCAGTTAATTAAAGTTTGTTCCGATTTGTCTTATTTTATATTTCTACTTTTTTGCTTCCAAGTTAAATAAGCAATTGAATTTAGTAATACTGTATTTTGCAAAAATAAAGTCGTATCATGGGATTGTTTGTAAAAATTTTGCCGATCTTTTTTATATAATGAATCACATTGTACAGTGAAGTTTTTGTCAAAATCAACTCTTTCTTATATCGAGCGCCGACTGTATTGTTCTAGCACTATACGTATAGTACTATACGTGTAGTACTGATCTGCACATCTCTACTTTTCATTCTCTTGCATTCAGCCCATGATGTGAATGTGGCTTCATTACACCTACTGAAACAAGGAATTACAATTAAAGTGGGACATTTTGTCATTTTAAATTTTTACAATTAAAAAATCGATCAGGATTCTAGCACGTTTACCACGAGTTGCGAATTAAGAGTGATCTAACCTATTTTAGCCGGTTTCAAGCTCTACAAAAAATTTGTTAAAGGCCTTCAATTCATTATAATCCGCTTGTAAATTGTTTTGCTCGAGAAAATTAAGTGCAGTTTTAAAAGTTTCATTAAGAGAGTTATTAGATTTGTAGTAATAAATTTTTTTATTTTCATTTTGAAATATTTTATGCGTCATAATTAATATTTTGCTCTTTATTTCATGTGAATTAGTTGTAACGTGATCAATTCTACTAAAAATTCTACTTAACGTTCATTCATTGGAAACAAGATTCGTTGAAACAATGGTTTGACCGTATTAGTATAAAGAGGTTTATATAAAACTTATGCTGAATCAAAATTAGCATTAGTATAGGCAAAATTCTGGTAATTTTGACCCGGATAATATAATTATTTCTTGCAGTAAGTCCATTCCTACTTAATACGTTGCCATGCTGAAACTAGAGATGTGCCATTCATAGTAGCCCTGATTTTTTTTCACGCACTATGCGCATAGTGCGCATAGTGCACATAATGCATATAGTGCATATAATGCATATAGTGTATTAGTATTATCCCTTAATGTGAATTAGTTGTAACGTGATCAATTCTACTAAAAATTCTACTTAACGTTCATTCATTGGAAACAAGATTCGTTGAAACAATGGTTTGACCGTATTAGTATAAAGAGGTTTATATAAAACTTATGCTGAATCAAAATTAGCATTAGTATAGGCAAAATTCTGGTAATTTTGACCCGGATAATATAATTATTTCTTGCAGTAAGTCCATTCCTACTTAATACGTTGCCATGCTGAAACTAGAGATGTGCCATTCATAGTAGCCCTGATTTTTTTTCACGCACTATGCGCATAGTGCGCATAGTGCACATAATGCATATAGTGCATATAATGCATATAGTGTATTAGTATTATCCCTTAAACGGTTTTTTGGCTATTGATGGCCGAAATTTTTTTTCTGTTATAAAAAACTTTTTCTGAAGGTATCACTTCCTAATACGAAAATGATCTTTGAGATTCAGCTGTTTGATATGTGAATAAAAATTCGGTTGTTGTCCTTGTGGTTTTCGTAAAATTTTCCTTAAAAGTTTGTCGATTGACTATTTTTACTTTGCAGGTCGTTAAATTGGCCAATAAGTGATCAAAAAATCATTTCGCGTTATCATTTAAGAGATAATAATAGTAATGGTACACAGAGAATTGTCATGAATGCGCAATAATGTTGGCCTTTAAAAAAATCAAATAGCATATTTATATATATATTCTTTAACTAGAAATATTTATTAATTAATGTCTACAAAAATACTTATATTTATTAATAATTGACATTAAAAATAATATCATAATTTCAAGAATGTTATACTTATTGAATTAAAAATATAACTATATGTATATTAAGAAAAAAACCTCAATATTTAAGTAAGGAAAAAGTCTTAACAACTAAAACAATATATATTTACACTATTTTATAATTGACCATTATGTATTAATATGGAGAAACTTGTACATGCATGCTATGTAATACAACATGAGAACTATGCGCGCACACACTGTGCGTGGCGCATCTCTAGCTGAAACCTTTGAAATGGCATATTTTTAAAGAAGGAGCTTTGTATGCTTATTTTGCAAATCAAATTAATGACACCTGGAAATGTAGCCCAAAATGACCATAGGGATAAATTACTTTGATAACCAACTTTCTGGATGATAAATTCAAACCAACTAGAGGATGCGTGGGGGCTTGTTTTTATCGATGTGATCAACCAGCTATTCCAATAGAAGTTGTCTCCTTCAGGACAACGATAGTAATAATAATTATAATAGCAATAAGCCCGATCATAGATTTACAAACAACAGCATTAATAGTTACGGTAGTCACAATAATAATATAACAGCCATGTGCAAAATGTCTCAAAAACTATAATAATAGTACAATATTCAAAGACACGTATATATTTTTTTTATCATTTTGTGAATAAGATTGTTTACAATTTTATTATAATTTTGGCTAAAAACATTTTTTTAAGTTTTCTAAAAAGAACGTACAATGCTTATATTACCAAATGATAATGGCAAGTCACAACACTAATAATAGTAAAATGTCCAATCCAAGACCGCCGAACCATAACAAGGTTGGGCGACGAAAATATTTTAGAGTTAAAAAATATTTCGTCAAACGGGGCACATGGTGACGAAATGTGACAAAAGTGATGAGGGCAAAAGTCAAAATCGATTGAATATTTTCTTTGGTCAGTTAGAACAGTGCCTTCATAAAAGTTTGACAAAAGAGCTTGAGAATTTCATTGTTTTGTTGATTGTTAATTTCATCCAAATAAAAACGAAAAATAGAATAATGACATCCAGGACATTCATTAGCTAAATGTACCTTGGGTTTAAAATGCGTTCCAGATTTTTGGAGAATTTTTTGCGAGATGCTGAGTAATGTCCTTTTACTTTTTTCATACACCAGATACAGGACGTCCTGGAGCTAATTCTTGATTATTGTTAAATGAACTTTCAGATATATTATCTAAATTTAATATTTGTAAATTCGCGTTATATGAGAAGTAATTGGTGAATTAGAATTTGACATCATGAATTTTATTTTTTTAATTTGCTCCTTGAACAAAAATGTAAATAATTTAAAATAATTGATTTCGTCATTTTCATCATTTTCGTCAAATTCCTCAAATTCCTCAAAATGTAAAATTCCTATTTTGTCCCATTTATTTTAGTCGTGCGACAAAAAAAAAGAGAGATTTCGTCATCCAAACTCGAACCATAATGATAATAGTAGTAATAATAACAACAATAATATCATCAGAGAAACTCATTCAACGCTAGCAGATATGGCATCCAATATAACCATTTGCCTAATGAACTAAGCGGAAAAAAGAATAAGAATTAAGGTTTCATCAGCTGAATTCTATTCCAAAGACAAGATTGGAACTGATCAACAGACTGAATCAACATCAAACATGCCACCAATCAATTCCATTCCGAGTTAATAACCTTGATAGAAGAAAAAAAGATATCGAAATAAAAACAGATAAAAAAAACCATTAATATCTGCATTAACATCACCATACTTTATTGTTACTGATTTACCAAAACTAAATGCAGACGTTACCTTCGAGCAACTATAACATGCTGTGTATCCGGGCTAAGCTTGAACTTTCTCATCACCTTAATGCTGAAATGATTCGGGTTACTGCCATGTATTTTAATACAACTATCAAAAGGAAAATAATACCAATTACACTAGACAGTCATAAGAATTGAGAATTAAGTTTGGAAAACCGCTCGCAGTGATAAATCTCAATGTAGACAGGAGGAGATAACAATCAATGTCAATAAATATCCATATGAAAATGGAACAATTATTGGAAAGGTTTATGAATTACAAATCTGTATTTCAGAAAAAAGGAAGATGCCTGGTAATAAAGGAGAAGAAGGGACCAGTTCGTTGTAATATGAACCGTGAAGAAGACAAATTAATGGAAGCACTCTTAAATCTTCAAAATAGAGATAGGTGATGTGGGAGTCAATTGGTCAGAATTAGAATCCTACGTAACAATAATAAGTGTCAATGGATAAAAATAAAGAAACGAGACCAAGTAAAATAATTGCACGAAATATCACAAGGATACACCATAGAGAAAAATATGAAGCCACTGTATTTATTTTTCAAATCGATAGACTATTCATTCAAAAGCAAGCGTCACAATTGAACCTAAGTCTGATAGAAAGATCAATCGTTTGATAGACTAACTCTCATAACCTTGTGTTTCGATTATAAATTAATCATAATTATTAAATAAAACCAAAAAAAAATCTTTTTTTGCCAAAATCTAAGCTACATATTAATATGGTATAAATTGGAACGTGCATTCCGATTCTTTTGTTTATATAAATTATTTATTTTTGTATTAATAAATAAAATAAACTTATTGTGATTACAAAATTATAAACGTTCAGTTCGTTTGTCAAACTGATGGTTTATAAACTGAATCACACCGTTTCCATCCCTAATTGTGGTCAATATCTTTAGTTCAAGTTCTACAGTCCAATCTCGTTCAACGAATTTATGGGACAGACACATAAGAAAATTGCATTTAATATTCGTTATACCAAAATTTTATGTGAATCAAAAATTTAGTTGAAAGAGGTCTATATATTTAATATTAATATTCCTTGATTGTTGAGAATGTCATGTGAGACAGTAATAATCTAGATTTGAAGAATGAAGCGTAATTCTAGTGATTTAGCTTTTTATGTTTTTAAATAGTTTGTAATTAATGTTTTTGAAAACTTCTGCGGCAATTCCAACTTTACTTTTTTCCTTTGACATAGCATCCTCCCTCCATATAAACAACTTCATTTTCACCCACCATGCATGGTCTTATCAATAAAGTATCTAATTTGACACGTTTTGCAGCAGGAATGAATTGGTGTCTTTCAACTCTTTATTGTTCCATCTTCTTGCAGCCAATGCATGCACCAGTCATCCCTAAGATCTGATATGCTAGAAAATGACAATTGTATAATTTTCTGATGATTGGTGTAGCCATTTTCAGATAATCATCCTTATGGGCTATTCTGATATATATTAGGCTCCCATTCAAAAGCTGGCGAGGAAATAGTACCATTAATGTGGATAACATTTTAAATTCATGAAACTGATGCTAATACCTAAACTCTAAACTTTTTGCTAAATTGGATGATCTGATAAGATGATAAGAATTACAATTTTGGTAAGAACTATATTTTTAGTATGTTTGGCCAATCATTAATAACAACCTTTTGATTTTAAAAACAAAACAAAATCTATTTCCTTTATTTAATATTAAAAATTAAGCAAATCGGAATTCGCATCCGAATACAATTATTCGATTTTGATTTTTTTGAATTCATCTAATAATTCCTTAAAATTACTATTCACGTTTTTTTTTTCGATTTATTCAAATTTCTTTTTGATTTGATTCGCACACCACCATTTAACAATTTCTTCATACTTTTTTCAATTTCTTCAATTTTCTCTTTGACTTGATCCTGATTCAACAATTCAAACCTATTATTGATATTTTCTTCGACTTTTTCAATTTTATCTATGACTTGGTCCTAATCGCATTTTTCAGGAGCTTCAACAAGGTCTCTGACTTTCTCAGAAATAAACGTTTCGTGTTCTGAATCATCAATTTCTTTAATTTTTTTCTGAATATCTTCAATTGGAACTGAATAACATCTAATAAAACAAAAAAATTAAATTATTTTTCAAGAAAATTTAAAGATAAATTATATTTATATATAAATTTGTACTATATTTACAAAATATCTGGGAACCAATCTCTCCATCTCCGTTGATTGGGAAATAAATAAAATAATTCAATCTCTCTGATAACCTTTGCTCTCTCAGCCAAGAATGCTTCTTCTGTATTATTTTTTTCAATTTCATTACTAAGCAAGCCAATAAATAAGTTCATCAAATATATAACTACTATGAATGAAAATGTCACTACTAATATTACTAGATAATAATTTTCAACAGGTGACCAAGCTCCAAGTGCACTATTGTCACCTATAATAGTAATGCATATTTTTTATTAAGAAAAAATTATATATTATTATTATCATTAAAAAAAACTTGTTTATTTACTTACCTGTAAGGAAATTATACATTGCCAGAATTGAAGTAGGAAAATAAGCAAACATGTTGACTGTATCATCAGGCTTTTTCACAAAATATGAAGAGTCATTATATATGTTATCTGTAAATATGGCATAATTATCAACAAGATTCCAAGGATTGTTGGGATCATCATTATTGGTAGGAGGTACATCTAGATCATATTGTTCAGTTGGTCTTAATGCTATGTATAATGAATGTGAAAAACTTAAAACAATTAAAAACAATATCAACAAAAATGAAAAGACATTTTGTGCCACTCCAAGAATTATTGCATAATAAACACCAAAATATCTAAAAGCTCTAAATAATAACATGAATCTCAAATCTAATAATAAATTAGCCAATGAAATCATCCATATTTCTGGTGGTGTGTCATAATGCAACCAAAGGGCTGATGCAGTAATTGGTAACAAAAAAGCACCAAGATCTAATATCAATAGTAATAATTAATATTAAAAAAATTCTATTTTAGCAAATCACAAAAAAATACTTCTTACCAAAAATATTCCAAAGATCTCTTACATAACTCATCCCTCCCCAAATAAACTGTCTGATTTCAATACTCATGAAAAATGAACCAATTGCAATACATGCAATCAATGATTTTTTTTTTGCAATGTCAGAAAAGTCATCTGGGTTACTAGTGGTAGGAATAGCAAAACTCAATAAAAATATTGTATAAATAATTGATATTCCTATGTGATATTTTCTTCCAAAATGGTTCCACTTGTAATCCAAGATAAATTTTCCATTCCAATGCTTATAAATTTCTAAATTTTCTGATTCAACAAAAATGTTTGATTCTGGTTTAATCATTTCCCATACAGGATTATAATTACTACTGTAATTCATAAATCCTGGGAAGGGAATTAAAAGCATCACACAAGCCTTTTCACTTTCAAGTTCACTAATTTTAAAAACCCACTTTGAACATAATAAAATTTTTTTATATAAAGAATCTCTAACAAATCTAAAAAAATATCTATAAAAATAGAAATGCCAAAATCTACTAGATTGGAAAATGAATATTTCATGGGGTTTGGCTTGATTAAATAACCTAGAAAAAGCAACCTTGTCATCAAATTGAAGTAACATTGCTGAATTTTGAACAAAAAATTCTGAGATTAATTTTTGATAACTTCTGTCTAATTGTGGTAGTTTAACAATAATAATTTTTAATAGACTGATGTTTGATTCAACATCTTTTATAAACTGTTCAAGACATGACTCAATCACTTCTTTTACAAAAAATTCATTTTTTACTTTTAATGCTTCACTTAAAACCACATCTCCATATTTGGTGAGATAATAGAAATCTTTTGTCAAGTATTGAATCATCTCTCTATAAGGGTGCCTAAAAATTTGGATTTGTATTTGGATTTGACTTTTGATTTGATCTTTGCTGGTGTAATTTTTATTAATTTCTTCAAAAAAATGATCAACATCAAATATATAACCTTCGTAATCTTTTTCAATAGACTTGATGTTTTTTTTTAAACTTTCTATACTCAAGTTATGACTTTTAATATATCTAACATATATTAATTTTTTTTCATCATCAACAGCAAAAATTTGTATATAATTTGTTGTTATTAAGATCAAGCCATCATGAAATAACTTGCATTTAATGAATGTTTCATCATGTGATAAATCATATTCACTATCATATTCACTACCACTGTTGCTGTTTTTTTTGTCTTTGTTTAGAACTCTTATATTTATACGTTGAAATTCTTTATTATGAGTTATGGTCCATTTATAATCCTTTCCATCTTCAATGATAGGGTTTGCATATAGTCCCTTATACTCATTATTAGCAATGAGATCTTTAATCTTTTTTTTAATTAGTTTACTAATTGTTTGGTATTTTTTGTTTTCATCATAGTCAACAGGAGGTTTCAATCCTTCAATACTTGCAAGTATTTTATTGTACATTTTATACAATTGTTGACTCATATAATAAATTTTATAATTTTTTAATTTAAACTTCTTAATTTCTTCTGACACTTTATCATTAATGAGTTCTTTAGTGCAAATACGAACATCACTAGCCATGACAATACAATTGTTATCTACAATTGGTCCAAATATAATATTCTTATTCATCTTATCATATTCATTAAAAATGTGTGTGATATTTACAGAAGTGGTAGGATCAAGGTCAAGATTGTAAGGGTCCATTAACACACAATTATTTTCTCCATTTTCTTTATCAAAATATATGACCAACAAAAACTCCTTAAATTTTAATTTTTTTAATCTTGCAAATTTCTCTTTTAATTTTGTCAATTTCTCTTGTTTCTTTGCTGATGTCCAATATGAATTCAAAATATCATTATTTTCTAATTCTGTTGATTCTTCTTCTACTACTGTTTCTGTTGTTGGTGGATTCAAAATGTCATTAATTCTTTTGATTTCATTTTCTAATTTTGTTAGATAATCTTTTTCTTTTTGATTCAAATTGTTGATTTTTTTTTTGATTTTATCTTTTTTATCTTTCAATTTTGCTAAATATTCTGATTTCCAATATTTTTCCGAAATATTATTGATTTTATGTTCATCATTTTCCAAGTCTGATAAATCTTTTTCTGTTACCTGACATCCAAATGTGCCGTTGTCCACATAAACGAAATCTACTTTTTTAATATGAACTTCTTCCTTAAATTCGACTATAAATGGATTTATATTTAAAATAAGAATTATTATTATAAATAAAGAGAATAATATTAATTATGTACTGTATATAATAACTACTCACATGATGAAACTGTTATATTACGCTCTAATGAGTAGACTACTAGCTTTGAATTTCGACGATAATCAGCCACCATCAAAGCTTCTTCCGCCTTATTTTGTTTATTAAGAACAATATAATCATTATATTTTAAGTAATAATTTTGTTTGTAATTGTAACCTTTATAGCAATAATTCCATTCCGATATCAATGAATGACTAGCAGCAGCAAGAAAATGATTGTCATCGTAATAAATCTTTGGGGTTTCATCACTATAAATATTATGTGTATCGAGAAGTTCTAAATGGTCATCGGCATTGCTGTTATATTCCATGGAATATATTTTATATTTTTTTTCATCTTTATTGCTTCTTCTCAACATCATTAATTTAGGGGTTTCTTTTGACTCGCTATTTTTCTGGAAAATAACTCTTGTGTCCTTTTCTTTTTTGTCTTTTTCGTTGTCTTTTTTTTTTTCAAAACGCGAACCTTTTCCTTCGTTATCTTTTTTGATTTTGTTTCCAATCTTCTTAGGATACTCGATGATTTTTCCTTTTTCCAGATTGAACAATACTGAAAAAAAATATTAAAATTGTTTTTAAGAGTTTATTTTTTTAAAAAATTAAAGTAAATTAATTACTTACAGCAATATTCACTTTGTATAACTACACATTGATTATTAGAAATTTCATTGATATAAACCTTGGGTTTGTCTTTAGGATTATCGGATTTGTCTTTATCAGAAATTTCATTGATAGAAAGCTTAGATTTGACAAATTCCTTACTATACTTATAAATTTTAGAACAACTTAAATGTTTTCCCCTAACTTTCCATAAAATGATGATTCTGCCTTTTCTACAATGAGTTACAAAAAATTCATGATTGGGACTATAATCTATTTCATCGATTTGTTCTTCATATTTGCTTTCTTGGTTAAGCTCGAGTTCATATTTAAACTCGTCCCAACCTAGTCTTTTAATGTCAGTCAGCGTCGGTGAGTCACCATTTTCAATAGTAATTTGGTTAAGAGTACTCCCTTCAATATTATCACTCATTTTTTTAATTAAAGGAAATAAAAAAAATCGTCGAATTGACAACGTATTTATCATCATTATTGTTATATTGCAAATGAATTCACTAAAAGATAATTTTTTGAGAAACACGACATTAATCAATATGCGGATAATTAAATGATCTGCGAAAGAATTCACTTGATTTTCAATGCCATTATATTTTTGGGTCATCCTATATACAGAAAGGTTCTTTTTATGAAATATACAGTACCTATGTGACAAATAAGAATTTATTTTTTGGAGTTGGTAAGCATTCCATAACTCCTACCACCCCAAGCTTCACAAATTTAATCGTCACATATAGATAGTTGTTACGAGGGTGTAACAAAAATTTGAGCTTATAAAATAAATTTCCATTATTGGTAGGGTACTGTATATTTCAAAAAAAGAACCTTTCTGTATAGGATATTCCAATATTTTTAATAACAAATAATAATAAAATAAACAAATAGAAAATAGAAAATCATGTATTTTTCCGCAAATTTGCGCAGCATCATGGAAATATCCAATTTTATTGGTGGTTGGGTGCAGATGATTTTTGCGGAAAAATACATGATTATAACAAATAGGCCCATATAAATCTTTTTTCTTGGCATATTTATTTAACTCTTCACGCATTATGTTAGAATTGGTTGGAGGTTATGGGTATTATTATTTAAGATACACTCCTACTTAAAGGATTAAGGATTACGAATTAAAATTTTCAGATCATCTTCACAACCGATTGAAAACAAACGGAAAGGCATCTAACAAATCTCAAAGAAGGAACTCTGCTCATTGCCACGTAGATTTTTCCCTGGGACAGGTTGTCTGCTATATTAACATGTAATATGGTGCGTTGCGTCACTCGCAGAATTTATTTTGCAAAGACAGGACCCAAAAAAATGTAATCTATTTATGTAGTTTCCGGTAAATCAATGTATAATAATAAAAAAATTTTGGTAAAAAATTGAATGACTTACTATTAAAAGTAAGGATCAGTGTGTCCACGTGGGTCTGGTTCATTTCGTCGACAATCATTTCGTCGACAATCACTTCATCGACAATCATTTCATCGACAATCATTTCGTCGACAATCATTTCGTCGAAAGTTCATTTCGTCGAAAAGTTCATTTCGTCGAAAATTATTTCGTCGGCAATCATTTAGTCGAAAGTTCATTTCTACAACAATTCATGTTAATTTGCATGTATTACAGTGTCACTAATTATGTTTGGGAAAGCGTGAATTAATTGATGATAACAATTGTTTATTATGTTTATGTGGAATATGTTTACTAACATATTAATTTAATTGGTGGATAAATTTGGTTTTAAATGTTTATTTATTTTATTTAGAGCTATGTTTTAACACAAAATTTTAATCCATGATATTATTATTAAAGTATACTTTTGTAATTAAAGCACAAAATTCGTCTGATAGCTTTATTGTAAGGTTTCTGGTCTAATATACCTACCTCTATATAAAAAACGTTGAAAAACCCAAATCGACAAAATAGTTTGAGCTTTGAGAAACAGTTTGGGCTAGAAACCTTACTTGATTGTCAGACCCATTTAATCATACGATTTTAATAATATCAAAAACTAATTTTCAATTTAATGATAACATATGCATTGAACTGTTTAGTATCTACTACTACCATTTAATTTATTTATTATTAGTATAATTTGCATTTGTATGATTGTAATTAAGAAAGAAAAATTCAGGTAAAATCAGAGTGCTAATTAGTTTGCAAGTATACGAATGACTCAAATTTATGTATCATGAAAGGAATATTACCAATTTGTCTGATCCACACACTCTACTAAAAAACAATAATTATTATCAATGCTAAAATATTCAATGTCGATATTGTTGCCATCACTATCATCGCCTCATTTATCATTAGTACGATACATAAGCCGACGAAATGAACTGTCGACGAAATAATTTTCGACGAAATGAACTGTCGACGAAATAATTTTCGACGAAATGAACTTTCGACGAAATGATTGTCGATGAAGTGATTGTCGATGAAGTGGTTTTTGACGAAGTGACTGTCGACGAAACAATTTTCGACGAAATAATTTTCGACGAAATGAACTTTTCGACGAAATGAACTTTCGACGAAATGGGTGTCGACGAAATGATTTTCGACGAAGTAAACGGGACCGGAGCTTTTATATTGTAAAATTTAATTTCTGCATTTTCTGTATGTGACATTATGATTTGAAAAAAAATCATGCGCATGATGCGTATGATGCAATGCGCATTGCATTTTTTTTCATGCGCATGGAACATCTCTAGTAACCTATTACACAGACAGACTCAATAAGTCAGCCGCATAATTTATACTATTGAGTACTTTAAACAATTAATTACTGCGGGCTGACTTATCGAGTCTGTCTGTGTACTATCTATATAGTTGCTGGGGCCCTGCAAGGCAATAATAATATACCAATCAGTACTATGCAGTACCTGTGAATTATTATTACAGTAACATTGAAAAAGTTTTTAATTTATTTCTCAATTATATAAATAAAAAATCTTTTTTTTCGAATAAAAGAATCAAGAAAACAATAGTTAACAGTTCAGTGTTGACCATACATCTATCGCATATGGAAGTTTCTAAAAATAACTTTTGAATAAAGGTCTACCCTTTACTATTACTATTGTTTTGAAACTTTGTTACGCCCTTACATCAAATCGCTAACAAATACGCCAAATTTATAAAAAAATTATTACTTCCTTTCTACTAACGCTAATATGTATGATCTACAGAAAACTTCTCGTTTTAACAAATCTATGGGACCAATCATCTAAATTCGTTGAAACGAAACAACAAATTTACTACTGCCTCTTTCTTGCACCTAGACGAACCTGTAAGCATACTTAATGATACTATATGACTGTAAATAAATGAATAAATATGGCACTTTTACAAAGCTCTTGAGCATTTATAAAGTTCCTTGTGATCGAGTTATTACCCTTGTTTACATTTATTTGCTGATTGCAAACTCGCTTTGGTTTATTTGGAAACCAACTTACGTAGCTTGCTTAACAGCCATACGTTTACGATTTACAATAATACACCAGTATTTCCGATTAACCTTTGGACGATGCTTCATTAACACTCGCTAGTTAACCAACGTTAGTCCTAACTGCTCACTAAAGCAAATAAACGTACTTTTTACCAAAACTCCACAATTGTTACCTATCAAAACGCTTTAAATAATGAAAATAAAGACAATGTTTTTTATTTTTAAAAGTTTATTAACGAATAATTTTATTTAATAAAAATAACGATTCTATCGCAGATTTTTATTTTATTAGAATGTTAATTATCTATTATTTTCCTTTGCTTAGACCAGAAGTTATCCTTAATGAAATTTTCGATCACTACAATAAGGATAAAGATAAAGATGGGTTTATTATTACAAAGTAACTTAATCAATCAATCAATATTGATATTATTATTGTTTACACAATAATTTGATGATAATTATAAAAAGCTTTTGCGTACATTGACCCTGGAACATAAGAAACGTTCGAGTTTAGTAATAAATGAGTATGTGGGAAGTGGATTTGTATCCAGTAAAAGAAAGTTTGGCTCTTTGGGAGCAACTAATGAAACAAAGGAGAGATTGGGAGAAAAATATAACAAAAAAGATCTTGGAATATATATTTACAAGTTTTTTTTTGTGAGCTTTTATATTTTATTGGTCTTTAAAGCAATTTTACTTGCGTCATTTTTGACTTAATGACAGCGAATTTGATGTAATAGTTTTACAACTTTGGTAATATTTGCCAAAACAACATTAATAATAGAATTGCATAGATTGATTGGAAAAATTCACATTTGAAGTTTTACCTAGTAATGAATGATAGACAGCGGTGGTTAGAGTGGAATCTCCATATGAACAGCTATAGGAAGAAGAAATCAATGAAGGAGAATCAGATTCGTAGGAATATGAAAGTGAGTGGAGAGGCTGATGAATTGCAAATCTATATATATTTCAAGAAAACAGGAAGAGACTCCTGGTAATAAAGAAAGAAGGCAAATATGAAATTGTGAAAGAAGTTTGTGAAAAACAATTGGAACTATTGGCACCATCTTCCTCAATAGGAGAGTGTGAAGAATTTGAAGATTGAATTTAAGGACAAATTTGAAGATGACTCGTCCAAGTGTTCGAACGAAGACATACTCAAATATCAGTTACCAGCCCACATGACAGAAATGTATTACTTTAAACAAAGACTATGTGGATGTGAAGAAGAGGATCCTCATTCTCATATGAGATAAGTGTAATCGGATGGAGAAACTTGAACCATATATGCATTGAAGTGAAACCCACAAAACATAGATGCTTTATCCCGAATAAGTGGTGATGATTGTTGGGCTTAAGGATATTTCATCTATTAATTTTCTTAATCAAGTTTGGATACCCTAATGTGACCAATTACGCACAAAAAAAAGTTCTAAAGATTATGATTATATAACTTCATGTTTCTAAATTTTAATAACCGTTGTGCAGATCTCCTAATGGGGTGCTTGAAAAATTATAAATTGCCATTATGCATTTTTTCTCATTCTACCCAACTGTTTTTATAACATAGTATTTATAGTCACGTGATTCTTCGTGGTTCTGAAAAGGCAGGTAATGAAGATCTTCCTGTATTGTTGATAATGCTATAGGTATCAATGATTATATAATCTAACTATGAAATATTATAGCCTTTATGCTGGATCTTCGTTAGTCAATAAGATTATTGAAAGGATGAAAAATAAATTGGGTAAAAGGATACTAATACTTTTATATGTATGCGTATATATATTTGTTATCGAATTGATATTAATGATATACAATATTAGCATATAAAGGATATTTTACGTAGAAAGGATATTAAAATTATTTATTTATTATAATTATTCCTTTGATTTTTCTTTGGATTTTTAGCATTTCTTATAAATTTTATAACACTTTTACTACGTATTCCTAATTCTTGTATATGAACTTTATCATCTAAAAGAAGTTTTCCTTCAAAAATCAAGCAATAAGATTTCCATATATATTTCCTTTAAAAAAATTTTTTTTTGTGTGAGAGAAAAAAATTTTTAATAATAATTGCATCATAAACAATTAAACTTACCAACTAATCTTTCTGTTATCCCTTTTCTGATTAGAATTCTTATTCTTTTTTAACTTGTCATAACTATTTGGTGCTTTTTTTTGAGATTCTAACTCTCTTTCCACTTTTATCGAAATCAATTTTTTAATATCGTGGACGGTCGCATTTTGTCTAACCACAAGTACTATTATTTAATATTGTTAACAAAAATAAATAATAATTTTGTTTACATGCGTGTGGGATCGGGTAAAAGCTTACCTAATGATTCAATTAATCCTCTCTCAATTATTATTTCAAAGGCTGTGCCTAATTCTAAGGCAATTAATGTATCGACCTCTTCGATTGTTAAAGACTCTGGCGTATTAGTTTTTGTTAAATCCGATAATAAAGGATCTTTGAATAATTCTTGAAGAATTCTTTGAGTTTCTGTTAATTCATTATTTATTTGAGAAATGTTTATAGAATCCATTATTAATATATATTGTTTACAAACGGCAGTATCATTATTATTATTATTTGCTATTTATTTGTGACACGATTTAAATGAAATTCAAAAAATTTTTATAACAAATTTATCTCTCAATAATATATACATACATCATATAAACCCTAGTGATGGGCTCATCAACTCCCTCAGCACAATTTACACGTCAAACAATCGAAGGAACGATTAAAACATTTTTTACTAATTCTGAAACTGGTCTCAGTCATAATGAAGTCGAATACAAACGAAAGTCGTGTGGTTATAACGAATTTGATGTTGAAGAAGGAGATCATCCTTTCATCAAGTTTATCAAACAATTTGTTGAAAATCCACTTATTTTACTACTTCTTGCATCAGCAATTGTTTCCTTGTTAATGGGAAACAAAGATGATGCCTTCTCAGTACTTTTGGTAATTAAATTTTCATTTTTGTGTATGCAATGTATATATATTTATTTACTTATTTAAATGGTTATTTTTGTTTCTAAAATATAACTTAGGCTGTTGTCATTGTAACTACAGGTAACTTATTAGTTTTTGTTTTTCTAATAACAAATAAACAAACTCAATAGATTTAGAGTTATATATATTAATAGAATACAATGATTATATATTTAGTTGGATTTATACAAGAATATCGATCTGAAAAGTCTTTAGAAGCTTTGGATAAATTGGTTCCTCATAACTGTCATGTAATTCGGTATGTGTTGAAATATATTTGTGTTTTGAATTATTGATCGGTTATTTTTCGTTAATTCAATGCATTAAGAAACTACTTATTTTATCTTATGATAGTGATAGTAAAATTTGTACAATCTCAGCCAGAGAATTAGTCCCTGGTGATATTGTAAGCTTCGGTATTGGCGATAGAATCCCAGCAGACTTGCGTATCATCTCTGTACGTAAAAGAATTCTCTTGATATTCTAATCAATAGAAATTATATATTTAATAACATAGTTTTAATAATTCAGGCAGTAAATTTAGAAATTGATGAATCTAATTTGACAGGTGAAGCTAAACCTCGAGAAAAAACCATCAATGAGATTTCACTACACAACGGTCATATCGAATTGTCTATTCAAGAAAGAAAAAACATTGCATTTATGGGAACTTTGGTTAAAAATGGTATATTTTCAAAATCATATTTATTATCGACATTATTATTTCTAATAAAAATAGAGTTAATAATAATAACAGTAATATTTAAAAGGTCATGGAAAAGGCGTAGTAGTTGGAATAGGTATACAGACTGAATTTGGAGTTGTATTTTCTATGGTTAAAGAGGTATATAATTTTTGTTTAAATGGAATATAAAGATGAGTTTTTTATTAATGGAGCAGAAATTTTTTTTAATAATTTTAGGCAGAAAGACCTAAAACTCCATTTCAAATAAGCATGGATGATCTTGGTAAAAAATTATCATATTTATCAGGCTTTATAATTTTGATAAGTGTAATTAGCGGAATCGTTCAAGGGCATAAATGGTTAGATATGTTTACTATTGGAGGTAGTTGACTCGTTTTTTTGAATATTTCATTTTCCTAAATATGATTATACTTGTGGTAAATAATGATAAATAATTCTTAAATTATATGTCAAAAGTGAGTTTAGCTGTAGCTGCAATACCGGAAGGTCTTCCTATTGTGGTAGCTGTTACTTTAGGTTTAGGTGTTCTTAGAATGGCAAGAAAACATGCAATTATTAAGAAATTGCCATCTGTAGAAACACTTGGATCAGTTAATGTGATTTGTGTAGATAAGACTGGTAAATTGATGCTTAGTTGTATTGGTATAAGAAGCTAAAAAAATGTTAATACTAATTTTTGATCTTTTATTAGGTACTCTAACTGAAAATATAATGACTGTCACAAAAATTTCCACATTAGATGAAGAATCAATATTTGATTTGGAACATGGCATGCCATCTAAAACCAGTCATGCTATGAAAGAAGTATTGAAAATAGGTTATATTAACATATTTTATATTTTATATGTTTGCATGCATATTAAATCGGTTTTGATAGTAATATTGAAGGACTTTTTTAAACTTAATTAGGTGGAATATGTAATAATGGTCGTATTGAAAAGGACGGCAAAACTTTTGGACAAGCTACTGATGTTGCATTATTAGATGCTGTAGTCAAGTTTGGAATGGAAGATTTGTTAAAGGTGACCAACAAATCATATAAATAGAATTTATATTTATATATTTTTTTTGAAAAATAATAATTAATTTGAAAATATTTATTTAGGATTATGAAAGGGTTTCAGAGATTCCTTTTAATTCAGAACAGAAATGGATGTCAATAACCTGTAGAAAAATCAATTCCGACTCAAAAACTAATACTATATTTTTCAAGGGTTCAATAGAAGCAGTTTTGGCAAGATGTAATTCTTATTATATATCAGAGTCAAACCGCCCACCATTAGATGATTCAGCTAAAAATAAAATAAATCTTCATGTTAGTACCATGTCTTCTCAAGGGCTACGTATCCTTGGTATGGCATTTGGAACTGAAATAGGAAAACTGACTTATGCAGGTTGTGTGGCTATGTATGATCCGCCAAGAAAAGGTTGTTTTTTTTTCTCAAAATTTCTTCTCATTAATCACAATATGTATAATTGTAAAATAACAATAAAACTAATAATTTAATATGATTTTACTGGCCAGGTGTTGATAAAGCAGTTAAGGATTTGATTAGAGGTGGCGTAAAAGTTGTAATGATTACAGGAGATTCGGGTAATTTTGAAAGAAATTTATTTATATTCTAATTAATTTTTTTTTTTTTTCATTTAATATTAATTTTTTTTGTTTAAATTTTAAGATCAAACTGCACTTTCTATTGCAAGAAAACTGGGTATCCCAGTTAATGCGCCATTAAGATCAAGTTGTCTGACGGGAAATGATATTGAGTCATTATCAGAGCTACAATTAAAAGAAATTATTAATAACGTTTCTGTTTTTGCAAGAACTGCACCAAAGCATAAAATGGCGATTGTTCAAGCATTACAATCAGTAGGAGCTGTTGTGGCCATGACTGGTGATGGAGGTACTTGATTATATTTTAGGAACATTGGTAATAGGAATTATGGCCTATTTTTATATTAATTATCATTTTAAAAATTTTAAAATAGTAAATGATGCACCAGCTTTGAAAATAGCAGATATTGGAATATCAATGGGGAAAAGTGGTACTGATGTTGCAAGAGAGGCAGCGGATATTATTTTGGTCAACGATGAATTCAATACTATTCTAGATGCAGTAAAAGAAGGTTCCTAATTTTAATTTTAGAAAATTTCTATTATTAATTTGAAATTTGTATCTAAATTTCTTTAAATATTATTTTGTGTTTAGGGAAATCAATTTTTTATAATATAAGAAATTTTTTAACGTTCCAATTAAGTACCAGTATAGCTGCCCTATCATTAATAGCCATTTCTACAATTTCTGGATTGCCTAATCCTTTAAATGCTATGCAAATTTTATGGATTAGTAAGTTCAATTAATGAGATAAAATGCAATTTAAATCACATATACGAAATTTTTATATTATTTTTACTTTTTTTTAATAAAAAAAAAATTTAATGATAACAATAATATAATTACAGATATTCTTATGGATGGACCACCGGCACAATCATTAGGAGTTGAGCCAATTGATGAAGACATAATGAATAAGCCACCAAGAAAAAAAAATTCGTCTATTCTTAATTCAGATCTAATAACGAGAGTGCTGTTTTCAGCTGCGATTATTGTAATAGGAACTTTATTCACATATATTACTGAGATGCGAGATGGAAAAGTAACAGCTAGAGACACTACAATGGTTTGAGATTTTGATTATTAATTCAATTATTAATTTATTTTGAATTTAACAAAAAATGTTAATGTTTTTGTTTTAAAAAATTTTTTTTAGACATTTACTTGTTTTGTGCTATTTGACATGTTTAATGCTTTATCTTGTAGATCAGAAAAGAAATCAATATTTAAAATAGGGCTCTTATCTAATTCAATGTTTAATCTTGCAGTCTTTGGATCACTTGTTGGGCAGATGTTTGTGATCTATGTACCATTTTTCCAATCAATATTTCAAACAGAAGCTCTAACCATATATGATTTGACATGGCTTTTTATAATAACATCATCTGTTTTCTTGTTTGATGAAATTCGTAAATGGTACCGTAATCAAAAACAAAACGAAGAAGATATGATTGGTTTGGAGACAATAGTATAGATAGATAGATTTTATTATTGCTAATATAACTATATAGAAATATTCATTAATTTTAGATTACACTAATACTAAACACTAAAAGGCATTTTTAATCATTTATATACATTCTAAATAGAATAATTTTACTTTTGACTAATTTAAATGTGTATTTTTAAAAACCAATTAAATTTTTGATAATAATAATAATAATAAAATAATAATAATAAATATAAATGGTGACTTTCTGATAATTCTTGCTTTTCAACTTGTTGTGTTACTCCAATTTTTAAAACATTAAATGGGGTATGCTGCAACAAAACCAGACAAAGTGAACAATGGTATTACCAAGAATTTCAGGGATCAAAATTTAGTATATAAAAATAGTTAATATGAAATTAATTTACATTGGTCTACCATGGAACCCAAGAATTATAGCACCATTAGAAGTATTTTAAAAAGGAACAAGGTGAAAAAATTGCTCCTTACATTTTCAAAATAAATGATACTCGGACACTGGAAGCTTATCTAAGGAAAGAAAGAATTACCTATGAAATTTTTTTTAATTAAATTTACATGGCATTATTCGTAAAAATTGAACAAGAACTAAACGATGCAAAGAAGGAACATGAAGAAGCAAAGGAGAAGTTGAAGGCGTTTGAGGATGGAGAGGACGGAATACTGCTGAAGAATTTAAGGAAAAGAAGGAAAGAGCTCGATGAAAAAAAATGTGAACGATTGGGGAGAGCAAGTAATGTGCTTGCAAAAAAAATTAGCCGAGTTAAGTGAAGGAAAAGGCAATGAACAAATTGCATAAAAAAATATACAAAAAATAATTTTCCATTCATTCCATTTCATTGATTTACTTAATTCATTGATCCATTCACCTTTAACACAATTACATTTATTATCTGGATTTTCTGTAGCAAAATGGAGTTATGATGACATGCAAATTGACAGAACTGGCATAATCTGCGACACTCTCATTCAACCATTCAGCTCTGTACCAAGTCAAGCAGGGGATCTTACATCTCTTATTAATGTGCCATTAACTCGAAAACTGCCTGTATCCTTCTATGAGGAGATAAAGTTTCCCCAGCTTGCTGATTTTATTGAAACAAAAAATGATGAATGTGGAAGTAACCTATCAAAGCACATTTCCCATTTACTTACTGACATAGCTGAAAAGCAAAATTTAAATAACACATCAGAAGATATGTTGCACTGGGGAATGGATAATACTATTAGAATTCCACTCCAGATTTTTCATGAGAATCTTGGCAGAGGAATGCTTCCAAATTGAAATGGATCAGAGTTGTAAGGATCAGGGAACAACAACGATAGGTAGTAAAGGACCAAATTTTCTATGCTGGACAAAACAGTGTACTTCTATTTAAAGGTGAAGAGAAGGCTGAATTTGCGGACTTTTCAAAAGCTAAGGATGAACTTGAAGAAAAATTCAATAAGTTTGATCCTATGTATTTTGGAAATATACAGTTTATCATTTGTTACGCTGCAACAGGAACAAGGTTGCGTTTTTTGTAATTGATGGATCACCAAACACAAATCCACCAAGCCGTTTAGTTGCACTTTCAAATCAATTGGATATGAATAATCGCCGAGATCATGTTTCTATCCTCTGTATAGTGGTTAATATTGCACGCATAATGAGGACTGTAAGCAATACTATTCCCGAAATGATTGTTCCTCTTGGAAAACGGTTGGAAACTGAAAAATCGATGATTACGATTTTAGGTGACTCAGTAGAGAAAAGGGTCTCAGTGGAACATCTTCCATTTGCTGAAAATTTGGATGATCGTATCAATTCTTATCGGAAATGTATGAATATGCAAAAGGTCATCCAAAGCTTGTTCAAGTAAAAGAAGACCCCAGCATTAGTAGACAAGGAATTTACAAAGTTGTGTTAGAAACACAAGGTCATATTTGTCGATTGAGGAATGAAGATGAAGCACGTGCAATGTCACGGAGTGTGCTCACTGGACTAAACTGGTTACATAAAGGAGGTTATGTTCATTGTGACATCCGATTATCAAATATTCACTTTATTCCTGGTGCTGCAGATTATAAATATGTTCTTATTGATTTTGAACATGCTAATGTGGATGGATTAGTAATGCCTGAATGGTTGAAGGATTGGGACAGTAAAACATTCACAAAGCATAATAAGTATACAGCACAATCTGATTTGTATCAATTTGGAAAGATGCTTAGGAATTTTAATACAGTGAATTCAGAAGCTGGAAAGAAATTTTTAGACAGTTTGAGAGATAAAAGCATTAGTATAGAAAATGTACTTCATCATGAATGGTCCAGGTAAATCATGCTTATCTAACAATCCATGTATACATTTACAACTTTGTAATGTATGTATTATAAAATTTCACATTTGGTTTTCCGCATATCATTGAAAAAATAATAAAAGTATCTTATCTGTCTACTAGTATTAGGCTTTATGATTTTACATACTGTGTAACTTTATCTGTTTGATCAAAAAAATTTTCTTGGCAAGAGCTGTTACCATTGGCAATGATCAAAGTCTTAGCATTTTTCTTTTCTCGAACTTCAGTCAGGATTATTACTAAATATGGAATTTCTAAATATTGTAATAATAGACAATCTAGAAAAAAAACATTTTTTTGAAATAATCGAATTTCAATTTTTTAATAATAATAATGACAGCAAAAAATCAGAAAACATGAAAATTTTGCATGCATATTCTACAGGACCTAGGCTACAAGCCATATATACTTATTATGTGTGTTTTTGCATTATTGATTCTCTAAAATTTGCTGTAGTGTACCATTTGTTCTAATAAAATCTATTTGAATCTACTAAAACAAATAAACAATGTTTCTAAATTTTAATAACCGTTGTGCAGATCTCCTAATGGGGTGCTTGAAAAATTATAAATTGCCATTATGCATTTTTTCTCATTCTACCCAACTGTTTTTATAACATAGTATTTATAGTCACGTGATTCTTCGTGGTTCTGAAAAGGCAGGTAATGAAGATCTTCCTGTATTGTTGATAATGCTATAGGTATCAATGATTATATAATCTAACTATGAAATATTATAGCCTTTATGCTGGATCTTCGTTAGTCAATAAGATTATTGAAAGGATGAAAAATAAATTGGGTAAAAGGATACTAATACTTTTATATGTATGCGTATATATATTTGTTATCGAATTGATATTAATGATATACAATATTAGCATATAAAGGATATTTTACGTAGAAAGGATATTAAAATTATTTATTTATTATAATTATTCCTTTGATTTTTCTTTGGATTTTTAGCATTTCTTATAAATTTTATAACACTTTTACTACGTATTCCTAATTCTTGTATATGAACTTTATCATCTAAAAGAAGTTTTCCTTCAAAAATCAAGCAATAAGATTTCCATATATATTTCCTTTAAAAAAATTTTTTTTTGTGTGAGAGAAAAAAATTTTTAATAATAATTGCATCATAAACAATTAAACTTACCAACTAATCTTTCTGTTATCCCTTTTCTGATTAGAATTCTTATTCTTTTTTAACTTGTCATAACTATTTGGTGCTTTTTTTTTGAGATTCTAACTCTCTTTCCACTTTTATCGAAATCAATTTTTTAATATCGTGGACGGTCGCATTTTGTCTAACCACAAGTACTATTATTTAATATTGTTAACAAAAATAAATAATAATTTTGTTTACATGCGTGTGGGATCGGGTAAAAGCTTACCTAATGATTCA